TTTTTTTTTTTTTGTCTAATAGAGCTTCCATGAATTCTGGTAGCGTAGTGGTTACGAATCGGGCTGTGAACCTTAAGGTCAGCGGTTCGAAACTACTAGCCGCTCCGCTGGAGAAAGATGAGGCTTTCTACTCCCGTAAGGATTTACACGCTCAGAAACCCTGTACAGGGTCTCTATGGGTCGGAACCGACTTGAAGGCACTTAACAACAACAACAATAGAGCTTCCAGTACAATGTTGAATAGAAAGAGTAAAAGTGGGTATCTTGTCTCATTCCTAATCTTAAGGGGAAGGATTTAAGTCTTTCTTCATTGAGAATGTTGTTGTTGTAATAAAGTGCCTTCAAGCTGGTTCTGACTCATAGCGATCCTATATAGGGTTTCCAAGGAACGACTGGTGAGCTTGAACCGCTGACCTTGTGGTTCAAACCAACTTTGCAGTCCAGTGAATTAACCCATAGCACAACACCAGGAGAATGATGTTAGATGTGGGTTTTTCATAAATTCCATTTTTCATGTTGAAGAATTTCCATCTTATTCCTAGTTCATTGCTTGTTTTTATCATAAAAAAAGATTGGATTTTTCTCAAACGCCTATTCTCTATCAATTGAGGTAACCATATATGTCTTTTTCTATTTTTATTAATGTGGTATTATGGTAAAATGAATTCATTTCTGTGGCCTTTGGCCTTTGTTCTTTAGAGAAGCACCTTGAGAGATTTTTCCTAAGCCCAGAGGAGTTACATTTGGCTTCGTTTTCTACCTCTCAAGGTTTTATTACTTTTGTCCAAGTTAATTGGCATTTCTTGGATAAGCTATAAACAAATTGATGGTTTGATACTTTCTATCTTACCCTGGCTGCAGCCTACCCTGTGATTGTTCTATTTTTTGTTCCTTGTAGAGATTGGCCAATATTGTTATGCAAATAAGGTTTGTATAGTCTACTAGGCAAATGAAGTAACTGTTGCCTTCCATGAGGGGATTGTTCTCCCTCCTCAGAGGGCCATGCCTTGGAATTCAGCAGGAGTGTTTTGTATATACAGCCAATCCCACAGAGGTTGGCAGACAGAAAGAGAAGCAAAAAGAAAAAGAAAGAGAGGCAAGAAGAGTGAAGCAGACCAAGGGAGATAGGTGAGGAACATTCTAAAAGAGCTCTAACACAGGTCAAGGACTGTAACACGGAAGGTAACAAGAGGCCCAGCAGGGGTCTTATGACAGAGTTGGTGGTGATGGCAGAAACCTGCTGCTAGAAATGCAGTTAAGAGAGTTGAATGAAACTGCTACACTGGCTATGAGCTGGGTCAGTTAGTCTATGACAGGGAGGGCAAAGGCAGAGAGTCCCATGCAGCAAATGGAGTGGTTTAGAGGGGTTTGAGAGGAGGTCTAAATGACAAAAAGAAGGGCCTAAGGAGCTCTGGTAGCATAGTGGCTACGAATCGGGCTGTGAACTGCAAGATCAGCAGTTCGAAACTACCAGCTGCTCTGCAGGAGAATGATGAGGCTTTCTGCTCTGTAAAGATTTACAGCCTCGGAAACCCTGTACAGGGTCGCTATGAGTCGTAACAGACTCCACGGCACATAACCACCACCACCACTTGCTTCAAGAGGAGCTAAGCTGCACTGAAGAAGGCAGGGATGTCTCCACTACAGGAGAGTCTTCCAGACTTGGCCTACGTGCATCCGAATCCTGATCCCAAGTTGTATCCTGTTACTTTAATAAACCCCTGAACTATAAGCATGGCCTGTGAATTTTGTATGGCCATTTTGACAGTTATTTTAAACCCAGAGGCCAAGTAGAGAGTGCTGTGGGAGGAACAGCTGGTGTCAGAATTGGCAAAAAGAAGTTGGAGACTGGAATTATGTCTGACCTCCACCTCATAGAAATCAACTTTAGGCTGATCTTGGTTCTTATCCCTAAGGAATCTAGTCAAGTTCTGATGCTACTACTACTAACATTTTGCTGGTGTATTTACATGGGTGGTACAGAGGGTTAATGCACTCTATTGCTAACCAAAAGATTGGAGGTTCAAGTCCACCAAGAGGTACATCAGAAGAAAGACCTGGTGATCTACTTCTGAAACTCAGCTATTTAAAACTTAAATATAGTCCCATTTTGACGCAAATGGGGTCACGTTGAACCAGAGTCAACTTGACAGCAACTGGTAATTGATTAATTTTCTCATGTTGAACTATCTTTGCATTCCTGGAATGAATCATCTTGGTCATGGTGTATGTTGTTGTTGTTAAGTGCCATTGAGTTGGTTCCAACTCATAGCAACTCTGAATAGGGCTTCTGAGGAGCACCTGGTGGATTTGAACTGCCAGCCTTGTGGTTCACAGTCCATTGCTAATCCTACAGTGCTAATCCTAACCAGGAGTCCTCCTATTTTTACTTTTATAATCTTTCCTCATTATAATCCTTTTAATATGCTGTTGGATTCTGATGTTTGCAACATAAATTGTCACAAATACAACCAGACTCAGATACCTATTCCTAACTACGAATTTAACCATTTCTGATAAGTTCTTTCTCTTCTGTAAATAGAGATTAAAAAAGAGAGAGAGAGCTGTTTTCTCACATCCACCACCTGCTTCAGAAGGTTTCCTTATGTTGACATATAAACTTTTTCCGTTACTAAGATGCATATGTGTCTACATGTCCACATTTCTGAAATTAGGATACATCTTACAGTCTATGTGAACATGTAATATGGTATTTATTTGAAAATGCTGTTCTTAAATAAGGTGTTCTAGGACTCATTCTTGTTCTTTGGGATCATAAAAATTTCTTTTGGTCAAAATCTCTTTCTTTAAAACAAAAAATTTTTTTTTGACAGTAAAAAGTCCCATAGCCTCTGTTTCGCATGTGAGAGATATTTCAAAGAACAATTTTTGTCAAGGCTAAATGCACTCCTGCTAACAGCTAAACCTCTGAGAGATAAACAGATCCACAGTTTATCTGGGGACTCAGCTCTACTGACTGTATCCCAACCCCCTGAAATCTGTCTTTGGGACCTTGAGATGTTGCTTATCCTCTTTAAGCCTTAATTAATCCACCTGTAAAATGGTGATAGTACTGGCACCAATTTCATAAAAGGAAACTATCCAGGTGATCTTAGCAGTTTAGCAGGGTGTCAGGTACATTCGAGTACTCAACAGTGTTAGCTATGACTGTAAATAATACATGAATGACTGCAGCACTTCTTAGCTGATTAGTATTGGAGCAGAGAAAGGTGGTGGTGGTTGTGCTAAGTGCCTTTGAGTCAGTTCTGACTCATTCAGACCTTGTAAAGGGTTTCCAAAATTTTTAATCTTTGGGGGAGCAGAAAGGTGCAGCTTTCTCCTGAAGATTAGCTAGCTGGTAGGCTGGAATTGAAAGAGAAAGGCAAACACAGCAAAAGCAAAACAAACAAAACTAAACAAACCCTATTTTCCTAGCAAAGAAGGGTAAGGAGCATGATGTGGAGAAAAGAATGGGAGAGATAGAAAAAAAGTGCAGTATATGTCTATGTAAATTTCAATTGAGAAGAGACCAAAGAGAATGAATTTTGATGCCGAAAGTGTATTAGTCAGAACATAAGCTAAACTGCTATAACAAAAAACTTACTGCTACTGAGTCAATTCCAACTCATAGCGACCCTGTATAGGGTGCCTGAGACTTTACAGAAGCAGACAGACTCATCTTTTCCCCATGCTACAACAACAAGACTCCCAAAATTCAGTGAGTCAAAGAAGACAGGCAATTGTTGCTCTTTTATGTACAGTCCAGAAGGAAGTTTGTTATACCTGATGGTTGTGAGAGGGTAGCTTTGTTTTACAGTATTCAATGAGGTTTCCAGTATCTTGCTGGTCCATTGGAAGGCTGTTTTCCTGAAATTAACAAGCCTGGCTTATTAATAGCACGTTGTCTTCCAGGACATAATCTAGAGGTTGCACACATCACTTCTACTCACCTTCCACTAGCTACACATAGCCTCAAGAAGGCTCAAGAAAGACAGGGAATTATAGCCCAATTTATTGAAAGAGAAAAGGGAAGAGTGATTGCTGGGGAAAAACTGCCACAGACGGTGAGCATCCCACTCAGGAGGAGCCTGGTCAACAAGGAACTGAACTCAGAAATCTGGAGACACCATTGCCAGTGTGCTCTCCTTTACCAAGTGTCTTTAAAGGACCACATAGCTACTCTATCATTAAAAAAGTAAAGAAATACAACTACCATCCTTCCCATCCTATGTAGATTTTTGCAGGTATATTATTTGGATTCTGGTGTGGCACTGTATTAGCGCTGGACTGTTAACCACAAGGTTGGCAGTTCAAACCCACCGGCTGCTCCTTGGAAATCCTATACAGGGTTGTTATGAGTAGGAACCAACTTGACAACACTTAACAATGATTCGGATCAGAGTAACACAGCTAGAAACTGGTAGAACCAAGATTGAAACTCAGATCTTTGACTTCTAAATTTAGTAAACCAGTAAATGACAGATCCCAGCTTAGTGCTCAAGATCCCAAACTCTTCTCCATCCCACTGCATTACCCCACAATCCAACTGTTCCCTTGTCACGCAATGTAGAATATATACGCAAAAGTTATCAACCATCGAATGGTTTGTTTTGGAGTCAGGGAGAATGCTAAGGTTTCATTCAGTGAATTATTTTTCACTAAGAGAAAAATTCAATGTCAGATTCAATGAAATGTTGTATATTTATCTTAAGAGACTACATTCTTACTTTCATTGGGAGAGTTGCCAAAAATGGTAATGTAATCAACCCTTAGGTTAGTATTCACTGATCCTCAGTTGGTTGTGCACCTGTCTTTCTTTTGACAGAGGAGGATATACAAAAGGCAAGGGGGTGGGAAAAAAAGGGAGGTAATGCCTGAGAATTAAATTATTTCATTCTCATGTGAATGGGAGGAACCCTTTATTCTACTTTCTGGAGAACTCCTTTATAAGCAATTACTGCCCTGAGTAACCAGAGCAGTTTGATTGGTAGATAGCCAACATGGCTGATAACTCCAAATTTATTGACTACATTGATGAAGCTTTGGAAAAATCAAAAGAAACGGAACTTTCTCGCTTGTTTTTTACCTATCAGGGGATTCCTTACCCAGTCACCATGTGCACCGCAGAAACTTTCCAAGCCTTGGACACCTTTGAAGCCAGAAGTGATGACATAGTGCTAGCATCTTATCCAAAATGTGGTAAATAACATATCATTTCATACAACGGCACTTTTGCATAGTGAGTAGTTAGGGAATGTATTAGACAAAGGTGGGAGGAGACCAGTTCACCTCTGCATGAAGCTAACTGCATCATTGTATAGAGTTGCTAGATGTAACATCCCCAGTATCTGAGGGAGAAATCTTTGAGAAAAATGGCATAATGGAGGGTGGAGGGTGAATGGTGGAAGTAGATGGATGGGAGAGCTAGAAAGCAAAGATGTGATGTGGGCAAGTCCAGTTGCCATTGAGAGCTGACCACAGTAGAGATTCTCACCTTGGTTCTTGACTTAAGAAAAAAAAGAATGGCCCTACTTGTAATTTATATAATAATTTCCATGTTGTTGTTGTTAAGTGTTGTCCAGTCAGTACTAACTCATAGCAACCTTGTATAGGGTGTCTGAGGAGCGGCTGGTGAGCTTGAACCACTGACCTTGCAGTTCAAACCAACCTTGCAGTCCAGCTCATTAACCCTCAGCACTACACCAGGACCCCAATTTCCTTGTTAGAGACTATTTTTCAGGATCAAATGTCAATCCGCCAGTTTCGTAAAGCAGTTTTACAAAGGTCTCTTTTATTATAGAAGAAAAGACAATAAGAATCTAAATTATTCTGTTTTATGTCACCCTATTCTGTTATTTCAACTCTTTTTAATCTTTAAGTGCTTATTAAAATCAATCTCAATTCGTAATTTTCTTCATCTTAAGTGATTCTAAGTTTTTATTTTAAAGATTTGTTTCTGTAGGAACTATTCAATATTTGATCATTAAAAAAAAACTCATGTTAATTTCTAGAGCTTGACATTGTTTTATAGAGAATATATTCTCAATTGCAAAAGAAGCATTGTCTCTTGCTAAAAGAGAAATCTGAGAAGTAAGATTAGTTGAATTTTATACTAATGTAAGTAAATTTTGTTTCCACAAAAATCCATATGCCTTATGCATAAGAACACCCACACTTGCAGATAATATCCACTCAACCTGGCTTCAATGACTGGATGATCAGAGCTCAACTAGAAGAAGAAAGAAGAGGGGAGAAGAAGAGTAATCTGAAACAATTTGATGAACTTAACCTACACCTATGGATGCAGTAGCTCAAAAGAAGGAACAAATCTTTACAGCGAGGATCATTCCCACCCCCTCCATACAGAGTAGACAGGGATGGGCAACTTGGACATTGGCTACCCATAATGGGGGAGCTACAAAGGCAAGAAGAAACTGGCTTACAAGCTTTCAAGAGGGAACCTAGATCCAGAGGGTGTGGAAGAAGGTAGAATCTCCATTGAATAGTATCCAATCTGTCTGGACAGGGCTGAGGAAAGGAGATGCAGATAGATCTCTTGTGATACAATGGTGAATAATTGTTATCAGGCTGACTTTGAGGGTTGGAAATGTAAAGGTGGACTTTTTGTAGCAAAAGGAGGGGAGTGACTGACTTTGCAGTCCAGAAGCCAGGTCCCTGGAACCATCAAGGGAGAAGAGTGGAGAGCGGGACCCTACCCAGAGAGACAGTGACACAAGAGATAGAGGCAGAGACAATGACGTGGAAAGATGGAGTGGGTAGGGACTCTAGACCCAGGGAGGGAGAGGGCTAGGGACTCTAGATCCAGGGAGGGAGAGGGCGGGGGAGGTGTAGGAGGGGGGAAGCAGGCTTGCAGGGTATACCCTTTGTTTGGTTGATGGTGCATGGAGGGGATTGTAACCATGGCCATGAAACAATATACAATAACATAAATGTAAAGCTAATGTCCTCCCATGTAAACTATTGCACAATTCACAATAAACATTTTTTAAAAATCCAATGCCCCCAAAAGTTCAGGTTATCTCAAATTCAGAGGAAACATTTGTACACCTCAAGAAATTATTGTAGATTTTAACTCTATCCTGTATATGCTAAAGTAACATGCTTTCATTATATCAAGACTCCTTGATAAGTCCCTTATATTCGCTGGTTTTTCTTACAGGTTCAAATTGGCTTCTCCATATTGTTAGTGAATTAATAATTGCTGTTTCCAAAAAAAAGCATGAACATCCAGAATTCCCAGTTCTTGAATGTGGAGACCTAGAAAAATACCAGGTTAGTGCAAAGCAGCAAAGTCTCATAGAAAGAGGTTCTTCCATTTGAAAGATTCTTGAGTTTTGAATTTAGGAAATATAATACTAATTATTAAACAATAATTGCTACAGTTTATTATGTGCTTACCATATTCTCAGCCCTTTTCAGGGACTATCTTTTATCTCAAAATAAGCTTATTACCATTTTACAAAAGATAAAGCAGAAAGTGACTTGCTCAAGGCAAAACAACAGCAACAAAACCAGTTGCCACCAAGTGAATTCTGACACATGGTAACATAATGTGTACAGAGTAGAACTGTACTCCATAAGGTTTTCAAAGCTGTGAGGTTTTGGAAGCAGATCCTAGGCCTTTCTTCCAAGGCTCCTCTAGATGGGGTTTGAATTACCAAGCTTTCAGTTACTAAGGCATAGCAGAGCCAAGACTTGAATCCAGGCTTCCTTTTTCCTTTTTTTTGGTTTTTGGTTTTTAAAACAATATTTAGTGTCTTATCAGATAATGTATGCAAATGCTACAAACTTCAAAATGCTAAGGTGGGGCAGACAAGGAGGTTAGGGCCAGGGCCAGTGCTTGTGGGACTTCCATGAGTAGTGATGATCAGTCTTGTAGAACCCAAGTTTTCTGACATAAAAGTCCAGGCACTTAGCCACTACACAATACAATGTGCTTTAAAAAGCAGGGGCGTAGGGGAGATACAATTATGGGTCTCTTCCTCCCTGAAGAAAAGAAAAGTGAAGAAAATGAACGATGCAAGGAAATGATTAGTATAAAGGTTAATGCTCCATGTAAACCTGAACCTGCACTATCTTGAAACCAGAAGACCCAGATGGAGCCCAACTACCACTACCTACATCTCTGATTAGGATCCAAATAGAAGGTCCTAGATAGAGTGAGAGGAAAATATGGAACACAACTCAAAATCCTAAGAAAGACCAGGCTTACTGCTTTTATAGAAACTCTTGTAACACCCCAAAACTTCTGCCTTTCCACGCTCGTCAAACCTAGAACTGAACTCACCCTGATGGGTCAACTTTCAGTCAAAGAGTAGACAGGTCTATATATAAAGTAAATAATAGCGTCAGGAAGAAACACACCCCTTAAAACAATCAATGATATGAGACCAAACCTGTAGCATTTACCCAGGGGCAAAGCTCAGAAGGCAGGGAGGGACAAAAAAGAAGGACGAATGGAAATGGAAAACACAGGGAGGAGGTGAGAGTTGAGCTGTTACACTGTGTGGATAGCAAGTAAAGTCACACGCACAGTGTATATAAATTGTTGAATGGAAAACTGATTTGTTTTGTAAACTTTCACTCAAAGCACAAGAAGAAGTTTAAAAAGAAAACAAAAAGTAGGGGAGCAGGGGAGCCCAGGAAATTAACTAAAATGTTCCATTGTTGTTTTTGTTGTTGTTAAATGACACTGAGTTGGTTCCAACTCATAGTGACCTTGTATAAGGTTTCTGAGGAGCAGCTGGTGGATTTGAACCACCAACCTTGTAGCTTGCAGTCCAGTACTGATCCTACAACACTAGACCAGGAGTCCACAATATTCTATCACGTAACAGAAAAAGTCTCACCATTAGGTCTCCCGAAAGACAGACAGACCCCATTGCTAAGAATAAAGCCACTATAGGTGAATTGGCAAAGTGGCAGCAGCAGCAGCAATGGATCACACGTACCAATTATGAGGATGGTCCAGGACTGGGCAGTATTGTGTTCTGTTGTGTATAGAGTTGTTATGAGTTGGAACCAAATCAATGGCACCTAAAAACAACAACATTGGGACTTAAGGAGAGCTTTTGGAAAGGAACTAAAACACTTGGCTGTGTTTCCAACCCAATTTGTAAGTTGGAACATAGGTAGAAAGAAGGCATTTCTATGGGAAGGGTCAATGTAGCAAAAAAAATGCATTGTATCTGAAGTGTAGAGATTTGGGGGCTGTTAACTGCTGAAAGCTGGATGTAGTTGGTAGCAAAGGAATTTTAGGAGGCATCTGAGAGGACAGCAGTCATGTTGGGTCTCTAGGTCCCAGGGCTGGGAGCTCAGCTGTACTAAATCACACTGGATGGAGGCTCAGTCAGTTCTAGCTCAGGAATGTGTGGAGAATGAGGGAACAAGCTATAAGAAATTTCTCTAGATAAGGTATAGACGGACCAAGGAAAGCCCCATTCCATTAACTCTCCTATCAAGGCCATTGCATAATCTTTTCCATAAAGAAAGTGTTTGAAATTATATTTTAAAAGATGCTGACATTTGTCCAACTTTCCAATTTTTCTTTTAAAAACATTTTACGTTGTGGCTCATAGGTCATTCTTACCTTACCAGTGCAACTATTATTGGATGTGGCTGTGTAGTTACCAATTTCTAGATAAACAGCTTTCTCTTATGATTAAAATCGGGTTTGGTAGACACACTTGTATGATTTTACATTATTTATAGCATTTTTTTTCTCCAGAATTTTAACTTCCAAACAACTGACTTCAAATACTTTGGAGCTTAAGGAAGAACTACCTGAGCTGTGCTTAATGGCTTCGAGAAGAGTTTTTATTCCTAATTAAGGTTTTGTCATACAATCGGCTCAGCCCTGAGATTAAGCATCCAATATCCTCCAGGCCTTTCCTTTTTCCTCACAGAAAACCTGGTGTCCTATTTCCAATCCAGGATTCTTTGTGCTTCACCAGATATCTCAATAGGAATGCTTTGCTTCTGTCTTCAGGTCCTTGAATTCAAAGTCTTAGCTCTAATTATGAAATTAGAAGTGGTCCGTCCTATCAAAGAAGTCCCACCTTTAGCCAAAATGTCCAGATGATAGTTAAAACCACATAAGATTTCTAAAAGCATAATATTAACATTAATATGTAATGCAAACTGAGTGAAGGAAAGGATTCTAGCTCCAGGGTTTCTGAAATATGTTTTAATTCAGTAATGTATATTGAGTATTGAGTGTTTTTGATGTCCATAATTTTCATAAATGTTTTTTCTTCAGGTATTATTTTTGATGACTTAAAAGCAGTTTAAGTGTAATTTTATTATATCTAGGAACAGAGATACCTACAGTGTGTCTTTTATTTAAAATGGAAATCAATGAGAAGATGTGATTTGCTTAACAGTTATGTACTGAACGGGAAACTTTTCTATATTGCATATATTTCTTAAAACAAGATATACCTTGCTCAACTCCTAATCAAAAGATTGTTGGTTTAAAATCACTCAGCAGTACCTCAGGTGACCTGCTTCTTCAGCACCACAGCCTTGACAACCTTAGGGAGCAGTACTACTCTGTATACACGGAGTCGGCATGAGTAAGAACCAACCGATGGCAACTAACAACAGAAACAGGTTTTGCCTTGATTACAGTTTAGCTTGGTCATTTTTTTTCACAAACATAGTATTATGTGTTTATCAAGTTTTGTTACAATTAATTCCTACTATCCTACTGTATATTTTTCTCATTCGTTTAGGAACTTCACCACTTCTCATATGCCCTTTTGTGATTTTTGGCAGTGCAATTTAGTGGAAAGAGCACTCTGTAACTTAATCTGAAAATTACTACCTGTGTGGTTTTGGACAACACGCTTAAAACCTCAAAATCTGTTTCCTAATCTCTAAAATGGGGGTTACAGTCTCTTCCTGAAAAGATTGTTAGGAATGAATGCAAATAATGTTTCAGAAATTAAAAAGTACAATTTAATGTAGATCAGTTATTGTTCCTACTAATTATCATTTGGGCCCATGCCATTGATTTAAGTAGCTTTTTAGTTTTAAAATCCCAGTGGGACATTTGATAGCTTGGTGTTTTTACTGGTTTTAAAAAAAAAGCAATAAAAAATGAATTGAGCACTGACCACCTAAGACAGGCAGTGTCCCTTAAACAATCAATAAATAAGGAGGACTCAGATGCAGACAGTACAGACCCGGTCAGGAGGCCAAGCCCCTGTGGGCCCAAGCGTTGTTGACCGTCCAAACCATAGGCTCTGAGGATCAGACTCTAGCCACCTAGTAGACATAGCAAACTGTCCCTCATCTGATTATTCAGTAATGCTTGTTAGTAATCTCATACATGAGCCCTGGATATCCACAGACAAATGTAAAAACCTTCCCTAAAAGCCGAGACTGTAAATTCCAAAAAGCCAAGTCCACCCCCCATCCAAAAAAAAAAAAGCTAAATAGGATAGAGAGAAACACTGTAAACTGATGATATATGGTGGGGATAATAATCAATGTAATGAAACAAGCTATATGAATGGTTGAATGTGAAGCTGATGATGTGCCCTGTAAACTTTCACTCAATGCAAAATAAAAACATTTAATTAAAAAAAAAAAATGAATTGATAAAACTTAAAACCATACCCACTGCCATCATAAAAGCCATCTAGAAGAGAGTAGAACTGCTTCATGGGGTTTCTAAGGCTGTAAATCTTAGGAGAGCTGACCGCCACGTCTTTCTACCATTGAGCAGCTGATGGATTCAAACCACAGGACTTTTGGTTAGCAGCCATCTTGGAGTCCTGTGGAAAGATGAATATTTCTATTAAAGACCATGAATATAAAAGAGATCCAAATTAAATGAAAGAGTAACTTACATACTATGATTTGTCTTGGACAAAATAAATTTGGTGATGATGCATGGATGGGATTTTATTTTATTTATTTATTTTATTTTATTTTTTCTTTTAATGTTTTATTGTGAATTATGTGATATCTACATGGGAGAACATCAGCTTTACATTCATTCCATCATCCATCATTTCATTGGCATAGTTATCATCCTGTCCATGCATCCTCACCCAACCAAGGGGTATACCCTGTAAACCTGCACCACCACCACCACCACCCCCACAGTCCTCAGCCCCTTTCCATCTCCTGATCCCGAGCCCCCAGCCCCACCATCTCTTGATGTTGTCTTCTCTGCCTCCATCCCAGGCCTCACTGCCTCTCTGGGTAGGATTCTACTCTTCGCTCTTCTCCATTGATGGTCCCAGGGCATGGACAGGATTTTAATCATTGCAATGAAATGAAGTATGATAGGATGAGTGCAAACCTGATGTTCTCCCATATAAACTATCACTCAATTCACAATAAAAGCTTTTCTTAAAAATTGAAATAAATTTGGTATGATTATGGAGAGTGAAAAGTACCTTTTTAAAAAAATGGCACTGAAGGTTGGGGAATAGTAAGCAGGATCCAATAAAGAAGTTCAAGAGTAAGATTTTAGTTATCTGTTTAGTTATTATTCTTCATTTCTCATCCCCATAAAGAAAGTGTAAATAAAGAAAAATGGAAGAAGAAGATACAATAAAGTGGGAAACTACCATTCAGATACCAAGCTAGGGAACAACTGTATTTATATATATCTGTATATGAAGTTCTGGTGTGGCACTGTAGAATAAGCATTGAACTGCTAATGGCAACTTGACGGTTCAAACCCACTAGCCACTCCTCAGAATTGCTATACAGGGTCACTATGAATTGGAACCAACTTGACGGCATTTAACAGCATATCTATCTGTACATTGGAAATCTCTGGGTGGTGGAAATGATCAAACATGCTCAACTGTTAACCTGAAGGTTATGAGTTCATGTCCATCAATAGACATATCAGAAGAAAGACTTGACAGTCTGCTTCCAAAAGATTACAACCATTGAAAACTTTATGCATTCACAGTCCTAGTCTGACACACATGGGGTAGCCATGAGTCCGGGTCAATGTGAAGGCAACCTGGCAACCAGCTTTTATCTATATATACTTTCACCTTTCTATGTATGTATTCTTTTAAGAGAATGAAAAAGTTTCCATCGCCAAGGATTTTGGCAACTCATCTCCATTATGACAAATTACCTAAGTCCATTTTCAAGAATAATGCCAAGGTAAGTGTCTCTTCCTACTAGCATTTCAATTTAAAAATTTTATGTATAGATATTGACTGCCTGCATTATATGATAGAATTTTAATGACATGTGGGATTTAGTATTAATTTTGTTGTTGCTATTTCTTTCTTTAGATTTATTGTTGCTTGCCAATTAGATGCATTTCCAACTGTTACAAAACGTACATAGTGTAAAACATCTTTTACAACCTATTTTAAAGTGAATCCATTCCAGAATCACACTAGGATATGTAAAGAATTTAACAAAACAATGCAACCTATTAAAATGAGCAAGCGTTGTTTCTTTGCCTCTACCTGGAGATAACTACCTGAAATATGAAATGATTTTATTTTGAATTTTGCACATATAACAAACTTTCTGCTATGCATGCAAAACTATTGGTGCTTTGGCTATTTTTATCACTTGTTTAAAAATCTTGTTTCATTAATCAATATTGGTATATTCCCCAAGTTGTTGTTGTTGTTGTTAAGTGCTGTCAAGTTGGTTCTGACTCAAAGTGACCCTGTATAGGGTTTCCAAGGAGCGGCTGGTGTGTTTGAACCGCTGAACTTGTGATTTAGCAGTCTAGTGCTTATCCTACAACACTACACCAGCACCCCATATTTCCCATAATTACTAGTTTTTACTCAACCTTTTATGTTTTCTGTCACCTGGTCTCCCTCCATGGGACAAAGATATGGTAGTCTGCTTCCATAAAGATTTACAGCTTTGTTTGAACTGCAAGGTTGGCAGTTCAAGCTCACCAGCTGCTCCTTGGAAACCCTATACAGGGTTGCTACGGGTCAGAACCGACTTGATGGCACTTAACAACAACAACAAAATTATTGGGGCTGTTCTACTCAAAGAGCCAGAATCGTCTCATTGGCAATGAATTTGGTTTTTTGTTTGGTCTCTCCTCCATTTTTTATTCTTAATGCTTCTTTTCCTTCTCAGGAGGAAAGAATTAGAATAAATTAAAATCAATCTTTAAAGACTTGACTGATAAAAATAAGAATGGAAGGTTTTTCCTTTTGTCTTTTTTAGACAAAAACTTGTTGCCATAGTTAATTCTGCAGATAATGAAGTGATAGCATAGAACGATAAAGAAAGTGGAAGACTGTTAAGATGACAACAATGGTAACAGTTGTTAAATGCTGTTGAGTTGGATCCAACTCACAGTGAACCTGTATAGGATTTCCAAGGAGAATCTGGTGGGTTTGAACCACTGACCTTGTGGTTCACAGCCCAGTGCTTATCCTACAGCAGGAAGCCACTGTGATAATAGACAGGTGGGTAACCAAAAGAGGAGGCAAGGAAGAAACCGTGAGGGAAGTAAAGGCGTAGCTTTATCTGCTCGTGACCGTGACACAAAAATTTTGAGTTTAAAATTAGAAAATACCTTGATGATTGCCCCCATTTGGTTTGATTTCCACTAAGTGACTGAGCTATAACTGAGCACCTCCAATTATGAGGGAACTCCTTCACTTCCTATGTCAGCTTTGGACAGGTATGTCAGCTTTGGACAGGTACCATTGAAAGTATTTAAAAGTCATTCTTTTAAATTCCTTATCCAACAGTTCTGATACCATTTCTGGTATTATATTTTCTGACACTGTATGTTGGTCACTTATTTGAGACACTCTGTCTTATTTCTTCATGTAAACTGAAATTGTTTTCTCCAAGATATTGTGGTATTGTTGTGTTTATATTTAACTGATGATTGTATGCTGTTGTGCTCCCAGACACCACCTGTCTTGGCATGCATGTAACAGAGTGAGAATGCAATGAAAGTGAGAACGCAGTTCTCTGTTCGCTGTTTGTGTAGCATCATTCAGGGCAAGTTTACCTGGCTCAAGAAGCAGGGGTGGGTTTACCTGGTGTACGACCCCCAGGCAGAGCAGAGGTTGTGCAGAGGGGGTGCCACTGTTCACTGGGTTGGCAAGGGCAGGGACTGGACATGCCCATTGCTACCACGAGGGCCTGAGAACAAAGGAGAATCTCATCCCCTTTGTCACGAACTGCCAGCCCTGTCCTGTGCCTGCAGGCCACTGTACTGCCAGCTTATAAAAGCTGAAGACAGCTGACAGCCCGCCCGTTTTTCTTCTCTCTCCTTGCTCCTGTTCAGCTTCCTCTTCCAGTGGGCACTCAGTCCACCTCTTTGTCCTATCCTCTGAAGCTCAGGATTTTAGCTTCTGTAACCATTTTACTCTATCTCCCATGTCTTTGTAGCAGAGGGTCTGCTTAGTGCATCTGCCTAAGCAGATTAGGGAATTTCAGTTCTTTCCTCCTACCTTCATATCATCAAATTCGATAACTATAGCTTTTACGTCTTTATCTAAATCACGTATTAAAATGTTAACTATGATCCAGCCAGAGTCCTGGTATGGTGCTGTAGCATAAGTATTGGACTGTTAACCCCAAGGTAAGCAGTTCAAACCTACCAGCTGCTCAACAGCACAACACTGACCTGACTCAACAACACTTTAACAACAACAATAACAAAATGGTCCAGCCAGGACAGATGAAACAACATTAAAAATGTTCAGTTAGTTTTGCATGAATTATTTAGCATCCTTTGAACAAGAATGCCTGGTCACATTAAATGTCTTTAAATTGTGCCTGCTTTGCACAAGACATCATAAGAAACTTAGTCTGCTAATCTAGGCACCTTGTCCAACCTGATGTTAATCAGTTGGGACTTTTCTTAGAGGAGTCATGCTGCCCCCTTGTGACTACTGCTGCATCTTTTATATATTTAGTCATTTCCAGAAATTTCTCCCAAATGGAGGCCTAGATCACAAATCCATGTCTTTCTCTTTCTGCTTTCTGAAAGTGAAGTGATTTCTTTCTGTTTCTAGTCATTATGGCCTTATGAGTTCTCTCAGATTCCTCAAATGTCATTAACAGCACTTAATAATGTATTATCCAATTTTCTCAGTTCATGAAATGCAAATCATAGGTCATCAGAAAGTCTAAACTCACTCCTACAACCTCTTGGTTCTCTTTGGTTTCAGTTTGCTCTTTACAATGCTTATTTCACATTTTTCTCATCAGAAAAGACAAGCAAAACAACATAGCTTCTGCTTCATCTACGTCACTCATAAATATTCCACCTTAGACCCTAAAGAGTGAGATTTGCCAATCTTTGATCCTGTCTGAACAAAATCTAAAGATTATTTTCATTGTCCGTAACATGATTTTACAATTTTTACTCTCTTTTGGGGTTTACTCTTTCAGATCATATCATCCCAGTGAGTATACTCTTTTTACCATATAAAATCATGAGCAAAAGTCCTCTGCTACAAAATTCATCTTTTTCTTCTCCTTCTTTCTTCTGCCCTCAGATAGCCCTACCTGCCTGCCGCTTTCTATAACTCAATTTGTTACTGTCATCCATTTCCTACAGATTAACAAATTTATGTAATATATGGAAGGACACAATGATATTTCTTGCCCTTTCACTTTTTCAAAGTTTAAAACATAGATCTAAATATATTTACATTTTTTTCCCCTTAGATATTGGTGTTATTTCGAAACCCTAAAGATACGGCAGTATCTTTTTTCCATTTCCACAATGATGTGCCTGATATTCCAAGCTATAGCTCATGGGATGAATTCTTCAGACAGTTCATGGAAGGACAAGGTATGGCCAATAATTTAAAAAAGAAGAAAATTCTTCTTACTTCAGCAAATAACCACAGAAACATGAAAATTCAAATGTGTTTTGGGGTCAAGAAAAAATTAAGATATAGGGACTCAGGGACCAAAATGTCACATTTAAATGGAGTTTTATAGCATTACTAGTTATACACATCAAATACTGACAATGCAATGCTGTTTTAACAATAATTTAGATAATTTATATGCTGACTTTGTATATGAAGGAGCTCCAAAAAGTTAATGAAACAATGTAATTAAAATATAATGGAATTTTCCCACAAACTTTTTGAAGCTCCCTTGTGTCGAGTGGCCATAGAAAGATATAGGACAATGAAGTTTACAGGAAAGCCACTTCTAATAAATTTCTCTTAGGTTTTTACAGAACACAATAAGAACAAAGAAGAAACACAAACAAATAAGCAAACAACAAAACCATAATACTGAGCAATTACACCAATGACATTTGATTGCCAGAAAGAAACTAAGTTTTTTTTTACTACACGAAAATTTAAGGACCTCTTATAGTAACATAATGGTTATGAGTGAGGCTGCTAGCCTCAAGGTCCCCAGGAGAAAGATGAAGCTTTCTGCTCCCCTAAAGATTTACAGCCTCAGAAACCCTATACAGGGTTGCTATGAGTCCAAACCAACCCCACAGCATATAACCACCACCTAACCAACCACATGGAGACCTGGTATGGCGCTGTGGGTTAATGAGCCAGAACGTAAAGCTGTTTGAACTACAAGGTCGGTGGTTCAAGCTCACCAGTCACTCCTCGGAAACCCTATACCATGGTCTCTTATTTTCACTGTTGTTATTATTGTTAAGTGCCACCGATTATCATTAATTATTTCTGAGTGATTTAATTCTACAACACATTCATGAATGTCTTATGTTGTTGTTGTTCGGTACCATCAAGTTGGTTAAAGCGACTCTGTGCACAACAGAATGAAGTACTGCCCAGTCCTGTGCATTCCTCACATAGAGGTTGAGACTTAGTCTCTTGTGCTTCAGACATGTTGTCAGGAGAGACCAGTCCCTGGAAAAGGACATTATGCTTGGTAAAGTGGAGGGTCATTGAAAAACAGGAAGACCCCAATGAGATGCATTGGCACCATGGTAACGGTAATGGGCTCAAGGGTAACACCAATTGTGAGGATGGCACAGGACTAGGCAGTGTTTCATTCTGTTGTGCATAGGGTCGCTATGAGTTGTAACTGACTTGATGACACCTAACAATAACAACATAATCATAAATTGTTGGAGTATATACATACAAATATAATTATATTTTAGAATATAAATTAACCATCTATCATTTTTACCCTCAGTTATTTAAAATTTCCTAAGAGTTTTTTTTCCCCCTCTATGTTTTTAGTTTCTTGGGGAAGCTATTTTGATTTTGCAATGAATTGGAACAAACATATTGATGATGCAAATGTTAAATTCATATTATATGAAGACCTGAAAGTGGTAAGATTGCTTTTATTAATATTTCAAAGCAAGATATATTTTAAACTACAACATAGAGCACTAAGTTATGATGTCTGGTTGTATGAACAAATATTGTGTTTAATTTTTTACAAAAAGGATTCTATGTATCTGGTACAGTGGTAGGAAAAAAATGAGCAATATATAAACACTTAAGTAGTTTATTTAACAGAAATGAAATGTTTAGCAACTTATTCCTAACAATGACTGCTTTATTTTCCTTTTATGTTGGGTTGTTGTTGTTAAGTGCTATCGAGTCAGTTCATAGCAACTCTGTATAGGGTAGCTGGTGAGTTTGAACTGCCCATCTTTCAGTCCAATGCTTTTCCTCACAGAACCATATCAGGTAGTCCTTATTGTTGTTGTTGTTAAGTGCCATCGAGTCGGGTCCGACCCATAGCGACCCTGTACAGGGTTTCCGTGGGTGTAAATCTTTACGGGAGTAGGAAGCCTCATCTTTCTCCTGCGGAGCGGCTGGTAGTTTCGAACCGCTGACCTTAAGGTTCGCAGCCCGATTCGTAACCACTACGCTACCAGAGCTCCTTATTAATAAGGGGGAAATAATAAGATAGGTCTCCAGTGAGATTTAATTGAACATGCCTTTAGTTGTGAATGAATCTTTCATAAATGTCATGTTTTTAAAACTTTTATCTTACAGCAAATATTGAGTGATGGCTAGGCTTTGTTCTAGGCCATTGTAACATATCAATAAATGTACTAGACAAAGTTTCCTGATCTGAAGAGGCTTTCATTTTAGCTTTAGAAGGGAGGGAGAAACAAATGATAAATAAGAAACATAATAAAATATGTATATAGTATGTGGTGGTGGGGCAGCAAAATTGGTTAAAAAAATTTGGAAATGGCAAGGACTGAAGGTAAGAATACAGGATAAGTTCTAGTATAAAATAGAATGGTCAGGAGGAGGTGAGAACAAGGTACAACCAGGTAACTGGGCAGAAACGTTCCAGGCAGAGGGGATCACCTGCTCCTGCCATAATTAAGGTCCATGTGGTTGGGCCAGTGGGCCTGAACTCAAGGGAAATAGGCAGTGAGGAGAGAGATAGTAGTATCTCTGACTTTTATTTAGGCTAAAACGCGAAGCCATTTGTAGGATTTGAGCAGAGGAGTGACAAAAGCTGATATATTTTTAACAGGTTCATTCTGGTGGGTGTGTGAGAATATTCTGGAGAAGGGCAAGGATAGGGGGCCTATGAAGAGGCTCTTACAGTAATCCAGGTGAAGTAAGATGCAGGTGAAGTAATCCAGGCGAAGTAAGATGCAAGTAAGCGGGCAGCGAAGGTGATGGACGTATGTTGGAGGAAGAACCAATAGGATTTGCTGCTACATTGGATGTGGGATGGTGAGAGGAAGAGTGACATCAAATAAGACCCTAAAATTAAAGTCTTGGCCAACAGGATGGGTTGAATTGACATCGCATCAGGATAGAAAGATAGAAGTGAAACAGAGTTGCAGGGAGGACCAGGGGTTTGATTTTGGTCAAATGAAGTATGTACTAACATCTTAATGAGCAAGTCAAGTAGGCGTTTGAGTATGAAAGTTTGAATGCAAAGAGAGTTCTGGGTTGTTGATATAAATTTTAGAATCATTGGCACATACATGATATTTAAAGCCATGAGATTGAATTCCTTAGTATGTAGGCAGATATATAAGGAAGAGGAGAATAAAAAACTAAATCCTATTGCCTTTTAATATAAAGAGTATGGGGAAAAGAAAAGGAATCAGCAAAAGAGACGCTAAAGGAGTAGCTAGTCAGATAGCAGGGAGCCCAGAATTCTGGAACCCAATGAAGAAAGTATGTTAAAGAGAAAGGAGTGTGTCACAAGCTCCTGAATTAGCTATATTTTTAACACTAGTATCTCATAAAAAATGCAAAATATCTAAATTTTAATCCACCCCTTCTGCTTATAAGATGCATTTACATAACATGAACAGAGATATTCATTTCGTCTTTTCCCCCTCTAGTCTAGAATAATTTTTCTAAAACTTGTGCTCCATAGAATACCAAAGGTTGCTTGCTCAGATAGATTTGGGGACTGCTGTATTATATAGCCTCCTTTAAAGTTTCACATTATACATTAACATATTAAAGTTTCTGAGAGGCCCTGTAGCAAACAAACAAATATGTAATAAAAACATACTTCACCTAACCCAAAGAATTCCAAACTTATTTTACTTCATCACTCTCCCTTTTTCAAGAAACATCTTTAACCACCTGTGGTGTACTTGTGTTTTATAGAATACAGTTTCAGAAACATCTTCTTGAACAGTATCTTAAACTGGTCAGAGATGTTGTTCGGGGTTCATCCTTTACAAGAGTAGTTAGACAAGAAAATTCAATATTCTTTCAAGTGTTTATGATTCTAAAATCATAAACCTTCTTGATGAATTTTCTTAATGAAATTTAACACTAGCTATAAATAGGATTCAGGAAAAAAGGGAATTTGAATGAATACATATGAAAATATTTCCTAAGCACTGCTATTTTTCAGTTAGATGAACATGATACTAGACAAAGTTCTAACCTACTAAGTGTTGCTTATGATCATTGCTCATGTCCTGAACAATAGTATCTGGCAGTTCAATATTCATAAATTGAATCTGCAATGTAAAATTAATATAGAATACCTTAAGGAGATCCCACAAATATTTATACTGAACTACCAAAGTAAATCTAAAAAGAGAAAAACAGACAAACTAGATAGGAAGTTAGACTTACCTCTCTAATATGCAGGTATTCTGTGTAAGAAGAATATATGTGCTCAGGGTACAAGCCCAACAGAAAGAAGTTTATACTTCAACTTTTTGTTTCCAGAATTTGGCCTCTGGAGTAAAACAAATTGCTGAGTTCTTTGACTTCTCTCTAACTGGGGAGCAGATCGAAACTATCTCAGCCCAGAGCACCTTCCAAGCAATGCGAGCAAGGTCTCAGGAAACACATGGTGCTGTTGGCCCATTCCTGTTCCGCAAAGGTAAAATTGCAATCGTTTCTGGGGTATAGGAATCACTTAGGGAATGAATTTGTCAGCACACAATAGACAATCTAAGTAACATTGGCTTAAACAAGACAGGGTTTTATTTTTCTTTTTCCCAATGAGAAGTCTGGACCTTGGTAGTTCAGAGCTGGACTTTCTGGACTGCAAGTTTGCTTTGAACCTCAAGGGCGGTGGTTCATGTTCACCAGCCACATCTTGGAAACCCTATGAGTCGATACCAACTTGACAGCCATTAACAACAACAAATCATTTTGTGGCAAGAAAAGAGATGGAGTTCCACCATATGACATTCAAATTCAGTCAGGGAACAGACAAGGAGCAGAATCATATATACAATTTAGTGAACTTCCATTCAAGAGCTTATCTGAAAGTCTCAGTGATCTCTTTGCACTTCTAGCTACAGTGGGGGTGATGGTGGTGGTTTGCCATCGAGTTGGTTCTGACTCATAGTGACCCTGTATAAGATTTCCAAGGAACAACTGGTGTGTTTGAACTGGCAACTTTGTGGTTTATAGTTCAGCGCTTATCCTACAGCACCACACCAGTACTCCTTTTCTATCAATGTTGTTGTTAAGTGCTGTTGAGTCAGTTCCAACTCAACCTATATATAGGGTTTCCGAGGAGCAGTTGGTGAGTTCAAATAACCTTGTTATATTCTTCAGTGGGAGTCCTGGTCCAGTGCATTATCCTGCAGAGCCACACCAGGACTCTGTCTAAAAAGTAGACACACATTAAAAAAAAAAAGTTAATATTTTCACACACTAAAAAAAAGACATAAGACATTTTAAAAACCAAAATGTTCACCAAGTATAATAAAACCAGGGTTTTGTTAATAAGGAAGAAGGAAAAAATGAGCAATGAATAAGTAACTAGCTGTCTCTGATACATATAAGTTCACTAAATTTTATTTAAAAGCATTCTAACTTCTTATAGAAGTTTTTTTATGACATAGCTTGTTGTTGTTAAGTGCTGTCAAGTTGCTTCCAAACCATAGAGACTCTTTGTATAGGGTTTCCAAGGAGCTAGTAAGCTTGAACCGATGCCTTTGTGATTCAGACAGGCTTTGCAGTTCAGTGCATTAACTGACAGCATCACACCAGGACTCATGGCATAGTTTAGGGACAGACTACCAGTCTTATTTGTTATTATTTATATAATGAATGTAGGATCTGCATTGGACTTCAAACCACAAGGTCGGCAGTTCAAACCCATCAGCCGCTCCTTGAAAACCCTATATGGGGTCTCTATGAGTTGAAACTGACTCAACGGCACTTCACAAAAATGACAAATAATGAGATTTAGAGGCAATTCATTTAACAGCTGTCATGTATCATGAGGCTAACATGCATTAGAAGACACTTTCCCAGGCTTAACTTTTACAGCAAAGAGGATATTAAATTTTATTTTTACAAATGTTGAAACCAAGATCAGGGTCATTCATTTGTCTTTTGTCACACAGCTAGTTAATAAATAAATGAGTCAGAATTTTACCCTAGGTTTACCTAGTTCTTCTGAGTCCTGCTGGGGCACTGTGGGTTAATGGGCTGGACTGCAAAGTCAATTTCAACCGCAAGTTCGGAGGTTCAAGCTCACCAGCTACTCCTTGGAAACCCTAAGCAGGGTCCCTATGTCAGAACTGATTCAACAGTACTTAACAACAGTATGCTTTTTCAATGAAGACTCATTTTAAAAATCTAATATGAATGAAACATATGTAAATATTCATTGGTTTGACCTTTGACTTTAACCATGGTTTTTATGCTTTGTTTCTTTATTTATTGTTGCTAAATGCTGTCAAGTCAGTTTTGACTTATAGCAATGCTGTGTAAGGTTTCTGATGAGTGTCTGTCTAGTGGGTTTGAACCACAGACCTTGTGGTTAGCAGTCCATTGCTTATCCTACAGGGCCACACCAAGAATTCTTGTTTCATTATTAGGAGGAGAAAAAAAATGTAACCTTCTAACACATTGTTAATCATGAACTGTTTAGAGTAGAAAAATTCTGAAGTAAATAATTTTTAAAATGTATACTGCTTCTCTTAGAAAATTCAGAAACCACAGAAAAATATGAAAAGGCATAAACCATTATCCGTAATTCTATCCAGAGACAGGTCTAACTTTTTTGACATATTTCCTCTAGCCTTATTTTGTTATTTTTTAATATAGTTGCTGATATTTGTAAACAGTTTTGTATTTTATTTTATTTCTTTAACATATCATCTACATTTCATGTCATTGAAAACCTCTCTCTACACATTCATTTCAATGTCTATGCAACAAGAAACTGAAAACTTCAATCCAGATCATCAAAAATGATAAAAAGAAGAAATAATTTTCTTTGCTTTTAAAAGCAAGTAATATATCCCTGTATATAACATAACATATCCCTAATCTCATGCAAGTAGTCCTGGTGTGGTGTAGTAGGATAAGCACTGGACTGCTAACCACAAGGTCGATAGTTTAAACCCACCAATCACTCCTCAAAGCCCTATACAGGGTTGCTATGAGCCAGGACCAACTCAACAGCACTTACCAAAAACAATTTCAGACAGAATAATATTTCTCATTTCATTTTTTTGTAAAATTTTTAGCATTAAGGTCTTAACCAAAACTTGTTATCAATTGTTAACTTTTTCATGACACGTTCAAAGTAAGCAGAAGAATTTAGGAGGCAAAAATTCACTCTCACTAAGTGAAATTTTAAGTCCTAGATGTTGGGAGGGGAGTGAGAGTGGGAGATAATTGAAGCCAAGGCCCCCTAGTGATACATAGAAAGAATATCACCTTGTATGGTTCCTTGTATGGCCCTATAGAATCAGCACTGGACTGCAAACCACAAGGTTAGCAGTTCAAACCCACCAGCTGCTCCTAGGTAACCCTATGCGGGGTCACTATGAGTGGGAACTCACTCAACAGCACTTAACAACAACACTCAATGGATGAGGAAACCCCAACTGGTATTGTTAATTTCATAACAGAAATCTATCTATCTTCACATTGCAAAGTGAAATGTTGCATCAAAAATGGCAAAAATCAAGAGGAAATATTCTGATATATATCTGGATCTACTATTTGTGTGTGTATGTGTGTTACAGGTGAAATTGGTGATTGGAGAAATTTGTTCAGTGAAACTCAGAACCAGGAAATGGATGAAAAATTCAAAGAGTGCTTAGTAGGCACCTGTCTAGGAGCCAAGCTGAAGTATGATTCATACTGCCAGACTTGAATGTGGTCACATCAGCAGACCCCGTATTTCTTTTCCTTAATAATAATTAAATCAAAATTATGATAAATCAGTAAAGTGATTAAGTAATGATAGTTAAATAACTAAATAGTACTAATGTAAATAATACTAATATGATAAAATCTGAAATATAAGCTTGTTCATTTTTTTCAGGAAAGGTCATTTTAGTTACCCAAAAGGAATACTGTTATATTGTGGTTGTAGTTCCCTTCCTGCTCTGTGTTCATGAAAAGCCTAAATGGACGCTCTCAGAAACAGCCGAGAGGAGGCAGACCCTAATGACGTGGAGTTGTTTCCTCTCGTTCCATTATTACTCCTGTCCTTTATTATTAAGGAACACAAAACTTATGATGGCTATCTCAAGCTTACTACGGGGGAGAACTCAATTCCAACTTTACATGGATGTGTGATTAATGAAGTCTATTATAATCAACAAATAAATACATTGCTCATCTACTATGTGTAATGACCAAAGTCAGAGAGAAAACAGAATTAGAACAAGAAAGAATCAGAGATGATGTGGTGCTACCACTGGGGGATTTATTGGTAACAAAGAGACTTGGGTTTCTAATGCCCAGGCCATTTGATTGGTGCAGGAGTAGACAGATAAGCCAACAACAACAAAAAAAAACAGAGCCTGCAAACAAGCCCGTGCCACCGCTACTTCAAATACTAAGAGGGTTACTCATGGTGGACAGGTTTCAGGGGAGTTTACCAATGAAGATAAACTCAGAAGAAATGTCTGGAAAATGAGTCAATGAACACTCTATGGCTCACAACAGAATATAGTCAGATACAGTGCCTGAAGTTGAGCTTTATAGGTTGGAACCCACTTAAAATACACAGTAGTTATAACAATAGACACAAATAGACCAATTGTCATAAAGACAGCACAGGACCAGGCAACATTTGGTTCTATTGTCCCTGAGGTCTCCATGAGTCCAAGTCTACAGGACATAACTAACCACCGCCACCACAGTAATAATATTTAAATCCATGAAACTGGGTGAGATAAACAAAGAAATGGATGTAACTAGAGGTGAAAAGTACAGGAAACAAGAAGGTTGCAAGGTCTGGCGATCTGCTTCTGTTAAGATTAAAACTAACAGAATCCTATGGAGTAGTTTTATTCTGTAATACATGGAGTTGCCATGAATCAGACCTGGCTCGGTGACAACAAACAACAGCAACATAGGAAACAAAACCCAGCACAAGTATGTCAAACAGCTTTGAGTAGGAGATTAACAATCACATAATTATTGGAAGGACTGGAAAAATGAAATCAAAAGGCTCCTACTATAGCTGTGACCCAAAGTTTAGAATCCTGCCATGGCCACTATTTCCACAACTGCCACCTCCATGGATGCCTTACATTGATGGAGAATGGCCAAAGGAACCTGGAGTTCAGTTCGTGCAAACACTCCTAAGCATGGGAACTCACTTGTCAGTTTGTCCTCTCTTAGAAGGATGGCCGTATCTTCCCTTTCATCATCCAAATCTTGCACCAGTGCTCTTTATTGACAAGCTACATCCAGAATGTTAGCTCCACAGAATTATAGACAACATGGTTTAAACTTTCATACATTATAATCCAGGGGTTGAAGAGATAGAAGAGGGGGGGAATGGAAACTGGATAAGAGTTTATGCCTACCAAACAAGCAACGATGATATGTTCCCACCTAATGCAACCGTCCTTCCAACATGGTTATTCCCTTCCCACAAATCTTTTTGCCTATTGCTCTGTAATGTTCCTTTTCTGTTTTAGTCACAGTCCTATCTTAAGATAGTCTAACCTAAAGATTATTTTATAATATTTACCAGCAGCAACAAATCTTACATGAAAGGAAAGGGAGACTCAATAGACAGAAATTCATTATTATGTACAACAAGGAAGGAAACATGCATCGCTTCTATAGTCCTTTGTTCTGCAACTTATCATGATGTCATAACTAGTGTTGATAACTTTTTTCTTCTATATTCCTTTTGCCCTCAGACAGCTCTTCAGTAAGTGGAGTGATACAAATATTCAGTCCTGAAGGTTCTGAGAGCTTAGCAGTCCTACCTGATTTGCACAGCTGCAGACTTCCACTAACCTTTACCATTGAACTTGAAATTACTAGGAGAGACCCCAGGGGACCGACAAGCTTCCAGGTTCTTCTCTGACTCCACTGCATACTTGCAACACTATATTCCCTTGGTAATTATCATTAGTCACTCCAACCTGTTCTGTAATTTCCTTATTTTCATGATAGCTCCGTTGCATGAAGAATCTACAATGGCCTAGAGTAGTTTTCATTTCCTGTGTTTCCTGGAGGAAGAAGAACCCAAGGTCAAGAGAGCAAGAAGTACACATGTTGCAAGTGGGTTGTTGTTGTTGAGTGCTGTTGAGTTGTTTCCGACCCATAGTGACCTGTATAGGGGTTCCAAGGAGTGGCTGGTGAGCTTGCCACACCGACCTTGCAATCTAGTGCATTAGCCCACAGTGCTACATCAGGACTCCTGCAAGTGGGTGGCTCGGTCTGATTGTGAAAGACAATACTCCTCTTCTATTCTTTGCTTTTTGACCATGGGAGAAAATCCACCCTATTGTTGTTAGGTGCCGTCAGGTTGGTTCTGATTCATAGCAGACTAAAATACCACCCAGTCCTGTGACATCCTCAAAATTTTTGTTATATTTGAGCCCATTGCTGTTGCCACTTTGTCAATCCAACTCATTGGAAGTTCTTTCTCTTTTTTGCTGACACTTCACTTTACCAAGCATGATGTCCTTCTCCAGGGACTGGTCCTTTCTGACAACATGTCCAAAGTACGAGAGATTAAATCTCCTCATCTTTACTTCCAAGGAGCAATCCAACCATACTTCTTTCAAAACAGATTTGTTCGTTCTCCTGGCAGTCATTGTACTTTCGATATTCTTTGCCAACACTATCATTGAAATGCTTGATTCTTCTACCATCTTCCTTATTCACTGTCCAACATTCACATGCATATGTTGTTGTTGTTGTTTGGTGCTGTTGAGTTGATTCTGACTTACCATCATGTACAGGGGTTC